ATTCCACGCGTGGTATTCTCCACGCGTTCTAATTCCACGCGTGGTATCCCTACGCGTTCCAATTCCACGCGTGGTATTCGCCACGCGTTCTAATTCCACGCGTGGTATCCCTACGGGTCCTAATTCCATGCGTGGTATTGCCACGCGTTCTAATTCCACGCGTGGTATCCCTATGCGTTCTAATTCCACGCATGGAATCCCTACGCGTTCTAATTCCACGCGTGGTATCGCCATATGTTCTAACTTCATGCGTGGTATAGCAACGCATTGTATCTCTACGCGCCCTAATTCCACCCGCTGCGTCGCAACGACTTCTAATTCCATCTGTCGTATCTCCACGCGTTCTTACTCCACGCGCTGTATTCTCCCGCGTTCTAATCCCATGCGTCGCGTCGCAACACTTAATCCAACGCGTTGCATCACCTTCTCTTCTAATTCCACGTGCCTAACATTCTAAATTCACTCAACTTGTTAACTAGTAACTTTTAAATATAAAAACCCGTTCCAGTGCAATGAAGTGGAGTTTTGGAAGCGTCAGACGCTAATGTAAACAAGATGGTTGCAAGTGCAAAGTAAAGAAAATTGCATCGATAGCTGGCAATAACCGGTTGCTTGCTAACAACCTAATCGATAATTTCAAAATGAAAGATACAAGTTGCGCATGTAAGAAAGGAAAATTGCAACCTAAGTTAATTACGCAAAGTAGGTGGAAATTTTCAGTTGCAAAATTCCAAGCGTGCAATTATAACGTACTACGTTATATATAGCCGTGGCAGTAAACGCATTAATGAACAGGTGGCTCCTTGTTTCCCCTCAATTTATGCGAAGATTATTGAAAGATCGATAGGAGATATCGCTCAATCTTCAAGAATTATGTGACAGGGTGTTTCTGTTCAGTTTTTCATAGTTTGCGCGTGATTATGTACAAACCCTTTTCACGATAATTATCGAAACATCACTTTCGAGAAATGTGGATTGTTGACGACAACTTCTGTTGGGATGATACCACTGTAACCGTATATTTTCTTCTTTACACGATAATTAGTAGTTCGATTTCCAGGAATGTGGGTAAGAAATACAGCTTCTGGATTATAAAAAATGTGTGATTATGAGCAGATGTTTGCTTGTTACTCTGCATCCTTTATTTGCATAATAATTATGGAAACGTAGCTCAATTTCCAAGGGCACGAATTGTTTGAGATGCTACTTCAGGTATGCGATGGCAGATGCGTTCAATCTTTATTCATCTTTATTTTTATATGTGAATTTATTATTGAAACATCCTTCAATTTCAAGGAATGTGTTTCATTATGTTTTTTAGCGTTAGTTTGTAAGTTTTTTAATTTGCACTTTGATTATTGAAACTTAATTTAATTTTATGATCTGTGGATTGTTAATAGACCATAATTTATGTCATGGTTTTCGTTGATTATATTTAGTTATATTTACTATCTGTTCTTCAGCTAAAAATGTCAATTTCAAGGAAAATTACAAAAGTGACTTCTCTGCTCCAAATTTCAAGTGATTCATTATATTTTCTATACAGTATCGTAGATCAACTTTGTTAATTTAGAATTCTTGGATAAAGCTTCAATGAATAAAACTAGTTTCAAAGGTTCCAAGTAGAAATTCAGACTTTCTTCTCTTATCTTCCATCCTCACAAAAATTTTCAATAAACTCATAATGCAAAACACCATTCGCTCGATGCCATTCATCCTCGATTAAGGCTGATGAATGAAAGGTACACGTGTATCTTGAAGAGATGATATAATTTATTTCGCTATATCGTTAGAACACGAACTGAATCTTCCGGATGCTCGTACAATCCTACGCCTTTGCACGTCGAGTAAAATCACAATTCTTTTATGTACAACGTATTTACAAACTGACTCCTCGAGCGTACGCGGATCAATCGTTCGCCAAGAATCTATCCATCAATCGAGTCTCCCGTTAATCGATCTGTTCATCTCCACCTCCTCGATGAATTTATACGCACAATGTATTGTATTTCCATCGAGGAGGGTGTAACTTGAAGTTGGTATTGTGGAGTGGCATATTTTTTATTTTAGAATTTTCATATTTTTGAATTTTTTGGTTTGTTAATTCTGTAAGGGAGTTACAGTATTAAATATTTGAGAATTATTGAATTTTGAAGTTTTTGAATTTTGAAGTCCATGAATTTTCAAGTCCTTCGATTGTATGAGGTCTAAGTTTCAGAATTATTGAATTTTCAAATCCATGAATTCTCATGTTCTCAAATTCTGAAATCCAATTTTTAAATTCAGTAATACTCAAATTTTTGAATGTCCAAGTTCTCAAATTCTAGAATTCTGAAATCCCCAAGTTCTCAACCCACGCGTGGTATTGCCATATGTTCTAATTCCACGCGTTCTAATTCCACGCCTGGGATCGCTATGGATTCCAATTCCACGTGTGGTATCGCCACGTGTTCTATTTCCACGCGTGGTATTCGAATTCCACGCGTGGTGTCCCTACGCGTTCTAATTCCACGCGTGGTATCGCCACGCGTTCTAATTCCACGCGTGGTGTCCCTACGCGTTCTAATTCCACGCGTGGTATCGCCACGCGTTCTAATTCCACGCGTGGTGTCCCTACGCGTTCTAATTCCACGCGTGGTATCGCCACGCGTTCTAATTCCACGCGTGGTGTCCCTACGCGTTCTAATTCCACGCGTGGTATCGCCACGCGTTCTAATTCCACGCGTGGTGTCCCTACGCGTTCTAATTCCACGCGTGGTATCGCCACGCGTTCTAATTCCACGCGTGGTGTCCCTACGCGTTCTAATTCCACGCGTGGTATCGCCACGCGTTCTAATTCCACGCGTGGTGTCCCTACGCGTTCTAATTCCACGCGTGGTATCGCCACGCGTTCTAATTCCACGCGTGGTGTCCCTACGCGTTCTAATTCCACGCGTGGTATTCGCCACGCGTTCCAATTCCACGCGTGGTATCCCTACGCGTTCCAATTCCACGCGTGGTAACCCTACGCATTCTAATTCCACGCGTGGTATTCGCCACGTGTCCTAATTCCACGCGTGGTATTCACGCGTGGTATCGCCACGCGTTCTAATTCCACGCGTGGTATCGCCACGCGTTCTAATTCCACGCGTGGTATCGCCACGCGTTCTAATTCCACGCGTGGTATCGCCACGCGTTCTAATTCCACGCGTGGTATCGCCACGCGTTCTAATTCCACGCGTGGTATCGCCACGCGTTCTAATTCCACGCGTGGTATCGCCACGCGTTCTAATTCCACGCGTGGTATCGCCACGCGTTCTAATTCCACGCGTGGTATCGCCACGCGTTCTAATTCCACGCGTGGTATCGCCACGCGTTCTAATTCCACGCGTGGTATCCCTACGCGTTCTAATTCCACGCGTGGTATCGCCATGCGTTCTAATTCCACGCGTGGTATTCGCCATGCGTGGTATCGCCACGCGTTCTAATTCCATGCGTGGTATCGCCACGCGTTCTAATTCCACGCGTGGTATTCGCCATGCGTGGTATCGCCACGCGTTCTAATTCCACGCGTGGTATCGCCACGCGTTCTAATTCCACGCGTGGTATCCCTACAGATTCTAATTCCACGCGTGGTATCGCCACGCGTTCTAATCCCACGCGTGGTATCACCAAATTCTGAAATTCCCAAATTTTCAACTCCCTAAATTCTCAAATCCTCAAATTCCCAAGCACTCAAACCCTAAACCCCCCACTTCTCAAATCCCCACTTCCCAAATCCTAAAACCCCCAAATTCCAAAAGCCCTCTTCCAACTCCCCAAAAACCAGTTACACAGAGACCTTAGCAAAAGAGATTCTTCGAGGAACGATCATCGAGGTGTCTCGCTAACGTAATCGATAGAATAATTTAAAATCGTACATCTCGGACATCGATTCGACATAGGGAATACTGGTGGTCGTTCGTGGTACGACGTTTAAATACAATCGCAAGTACAATTCGAAGTTTACACTGGGCTTCTCTCTAAAGGGTACGAAGTTTGGCACTCGATCTCCTTCTTCTTCTCTCTCGCACTCATACAATACATTCTCTCTCTCTCTTCAATAAGATCGTCTTTCGATCAGACACAATCACACAAAACTATTTACACGTCCACCTCTTTATAACTTTGTTCTTTATAGAACAGTTCACTTCAGGTATTTACACGAACTATGGCAAGATTTCGTGTAAACGCGGGTCGATTCGACCCCCGTCGAGAAACCCGCAGGATGTTTGCGAGTTGATTTCGGAAAAACGGGTGGACGAAGTTCTTCGAGACCTTCGGAGGTTGATGCCGCCGTTTCCGCCGGAAGTTCCTCCATTTGGCTCCTCGAAGAACAATGCAGCCATTAGCCAGCTTCCGAGTTGCTCGGAAACTGAAGCGATTCCGAAGGAAACTCAGTCTCGAAGGACTTTGGTTGACTCTTCTCGATTGTTTCGACGCGAGGAACACGGAAACGGATGCTATTACGTCAGTCTTGCCAACAGGGTCCATAGTCTTCTGGTTGTGCTCGATGAGACTTCTTCTCTTTTCAACGGCGACCATTGTTGCGACGGTCGATGACTGACAGCGCACGCGATTCCATCGCAATTGCATCGACGCGCTTCTTTTCAAGGATTTATAGCCTCTTGCTCTTTTTCACTCGATTTCAATTCTCGATTCGAATTCTCTTTACGGTTAGCCTTCTTTGATTGACAGTCCCACAATTCCACAGGAATTTTACACGACTCATGAGACTTCGGACTTCTAATACTCGAAAGCGTCGATACTGTTTCTTTCTTGAAACCATGTTCAAACTCCAAGCAATTTCACTTTGTCTACCGTCATTCGAGCTTCAGCTACTAAAAGTTCGCTTCGAGCAACGTTCCGAATTTGGAACACTGTATCTTTGGATAACAACGAAGAACGCGTGTTTCTCGATTGTTCATCTCGATTCTGTCACATTCGCAGACTTGCGCGTAAAGCAAGGTTTAAGTTCTCTGCCAAGATTCGACGGAATTTCGGCCCGTCGGATGCTGCGAAAGGATGGAGTCACAAGGACGTTTCACGTCGATCAGACGAAATTCCTGGCGCCTTAGTCCAGGCAGAGAACGTCTAGCTACGCTTCCGAGCCGCTCGAACACTCGTCGGCCTCCGGATCGATGTGCTCCTCTTCCTCGTCTTCCTCGTGGTGATAGTCGCCCGTCTCCTGTTGCCATTTGCTCACGTGATGGGTGTTCTTGTTGTTAGAATTGTTGTTCCCGTTTCCACCTCCTCCGCCACCGCCGCCACCGCCGCCGCCTCCGCCTCCGCCACCTCCGCTCTGTTGCTGCGCCTTCGCCTCCTCCTCTTGTTGCATTCGTTTGTGCTTTGTCCGTCGGTTTTGGAACCAGACCTTCACCTGCAACAGAAACAAGTCGTTTTTTGTTAATTTTTTGGTTTATTATTATTAGGAGCGTTAGGGTGACAGTAAGTGTCAAGTTTTAATTGCATACTGTGTCACAATATCTAATTCTATGTATTGTATATCGACGCGGTATAATTCCACGCGTGGTACTGGCATATGATTTAACTCCACGTGTGGTATTTCAGCGCGTTGTATCGCCACGCGTGGTATCGCAATGCGTTGTATCGCCACGCATCCTAATTCCACGCGTGGTATTCGCGACACGTTCTAATTCCACGCGTGGTATTCGCCACGCATCCTAATTCCACGCGTGGTATTCGCCGTGCGTGATAATTCCACGCGTGGTATCACCACGCGTTCTAATTCCACGCGTGGTATTCGCCATGCGTGGTAATTCCACGCGTGGTATTCGCCACGCATCCTAATTCCACGCGTGGTATTCGCCACGCATCCTAATTCCACGCGTGGTATTCGCCACGCATCCTAATTCCACGCGTGGTATTCGCCACGCATCCTAATTCCACGCGTGGTATTCGCCACGCATCCTAATTCCACGCGTGGTATTCGCCACGCATCCTAATTCCACGCGTGGTATTCGCCACGCATCCTAATTCCACGCGTGGTATTCGCCACGCATCCTAATTCCACGCGTGGTATTCGCCACGCATCCTAATTCCACGCGTGGTATTCGCCACGCATCCTAATTCCACGCGTGGTATTCGCCACGCATCCTAATTCCACGCGTGGTATTCGCCACGCATCCTAATTCCACGCGTGGTATTCGCCACGCATCCTAATTCCACGCGTGGTATTCGCCACGCATCCTAATTCCACGCGTGGTATTCGCCACGCATCCTAATTCCACGCGTGGTATTCGCCACGCATCCTAATTCCACGCGTGGTATTCGCCACGCATCCTAATTCCACGCGTGGTATTCGCCATGCGTGGTAATTCCACGCGTGGTATTCGCCATGCGTGGTAATTCCACGCGTGGTATTCGCCACGCATCCTAATTCCACGCGTGGTATTCGCCATGCGTGGTATTCGCCGTGCGTGATAATTCCACGCATGGTATCACCACGCATTCTAATTCCACGCATGGTATTCGCCATGCGTGATAATTCCACGCGTGGTATTCGCCATGCGTAATAATTCCACGCGTGGTATTCGCCATGCGTGATAATTCCACGCGTGGTATTTGCCATGCGTGATAATTCCACGCGTTCTAATTCCACGCGTGGTATTCGCCATGCGTGGTAATTCCACGCGTAGTATCACCACGCGTTCTAATTCCACGCTTGGTATCGCCTCGCATTCTAACTCCACGCGTGGTATTCGCCATGCGTGATAATTCCACGCGTTCTAATTCCACGCATGGTATTCGCCATGCGTGATAATTCCTCGCGTGGTATCACCATGCGTTCTAATTCCGCGCGTGGTATCCCTGCGCGTTCTAATTCCACGCGTGGTATCGCCATATGTTCTAACTCCACACGTGATATTGCAACGCATTATATCTCTACGCGCCCTATTCCACCCGCTGCGTCGCCACGCGTTCTAATTCCACGCGTGGTATCGCCACGCGCTCTAACTCCACGCGCTGTAACCTCACGCGCCACGTCGCATCATATTCTAATTCGACGCGTTGCATCACTATATCATCTAATTCCACGTGCTCTATCCTTGCATTTTAATTAATTTAATCTTGCATTATTAACGCGTTGCACTATCACACCTAGAATACCAATATCTTATTATTCTATGCGAGCTACTTCCTCGCACTCTAACTCTAAACTTGAGCACCGAAATTTCGAACCTCAGAATCATAATCTACTAATCTGAAATTTCACAGCGCCTACTCTATGAAGCCTACTCTACTCTATTAGTTCCTGTGACTCTACACCTATAATAAAAAATCAAAATACATAAAATCATAAGATTCCAGTCGAGCTGCCATGATAAAAATCCTGCCGCAATAAAGGGTAAATATCAGGAGGAGCGTCATTTGGTTCGACAATCGATGCGAAGGGAGCCAATCCGGTTGGACAAGGGGTCGTCGGCAAATTAAGTGGCAACTAGTTATAATCCACCCCAGTGTATCGTGGAACCACCCTTAAACTGAGTGTATCCGGTTACAATGGTTCGTGTCGGTGACGCGGAACCCCATGAAAAGGAAAAAAGAAAGAAGAAAGGGATGAAACGACTGCTGCGAACGAGTGAAAGCCAGAACGACTATTGTCCTCGAATTGACTGTTAGATATATATTGTCCTACTCGTGGTTCTTTGCGAGAGAAGGGTTGAAGTCCATTTTCGAACTATCAACGCGTGAAATCAGCATTGTGACTCTGGATACGAGCACAAGGGATGATGGAAACACGGGAGGGATGTTTGTCTAACACCCGATCCAACGTGGTTTTGACAAGACCCGGATTAGCCTCTCTTCGGGGTGAACATCTAGCGACGGGGTGGAAACAGTTTACGGATACGGAGAACTTTGTGCATTAAAATAACTATGGTGTGTGGATGTGAGGTATAATTGCTCTGTACATTTTGTTACAAATTTTCAACCCTTCTCTAATAAAGCATGAAAGACATTTTGTAAACCGTGAGTAGTGTACGAAACATCTGGTCAAAGATCTAGCGAAAGAAAAATGAGTTTAATGTATTTGTTCATCAAGTTTAATGTATGAGTTTGATTGTAAACCGATTACAATGTCAAGATTCCTAATGAAGACTAGAAAAATGAAAGGGGAAAAAAATGATGACATTTTTAACAATTTCCCATGAATATTTCTTGAACTACACCTTCATTCTTTTTTCAAAAAAAGAAAATTGCGTGGTAGTACTTGAAAGATGTGTGAATAGAATTGTAAAATATAATTATAAGGATTGAAGGCATCGAAGAGGGTCGTGACACGTCGGAAAGCCTCTCCGGCGATATACATAAAAACGCCGCTCCGTAGGATCGAATAAAATCGTAGGTCGTATATACGCATCGCTCGGCGTATAAATCGTCCAAGCTGCTGGAAGCTTTTATGCGATTTTTACAACGCGCCTCCGTAAAATACTGGCGTCGATGGAGCGTCTCGATGGTGCGGCGGTTCGAGGAGCGTCGAGGAAGGGTGGTATCCCGGTTAAACCGAGTGTAAATCCAGCTGGCCTGGGACGAGCCGAGGGGGTTGAAACAAGGGGGTCGATCCTGGGGAATAGGCCACGTACGTGCGGGACGCGAAAAGGGGGTGGCCGGGGTTTCCGCGTGCGTGAAGATCCGCCAATCGGCTTTCAGGACCGCCTGCGGTCTCCATGGCAACCCTCGGGGACAGAGGGTGATTACGAAATGGGGAGAACGGAGAGGGTAACTCGATTAAACTGCGCGAACGAGGGTCCTGCAGGGAGCGTTATAGGGGATGATACTGCGCCACCGTACAACGAAACCAGGGGAAAGTGGCTCTCTATTTGCCCTCTTAATCATCCGTTAAGTGCCACGATCCTCGAAAAGTTCCCCTGGGTACGCAAACCACGATCCGTCGAACTTCCCGCGCTAGATCGTTCGTTACGCCATTCATTCCGGGGCTAATTGCTACGATTACGCCGGGAATCGTCCCGAGCTATTCCGTGGAAGCTGCACCTACGATTCTTTCGAATACTTATCGAACGTCCCTCTTCGAATCGGCAGTAATGAAAATATAGAGTCGTAAAAATCTCAATAGTCAACATATACATACTCTGAACCTTTACTGTAAGCCTATCTGTAGATATTAACGTAGCGTTTTTCTGGTGTAAGAATGTAAGGAAAGCGAGAAAAGTTGAAAACCGCAAAGGGTTCCAAAGTCGCCAATTACGCCCATGAGAGACAGCGGTATCAATCAGCGAAATTTTCGAAAGGCAAATATGGGCAGACAGAGGAGCCTCTCGAGTCCTTTCCCGGCGAAAGAGGTTCGCGCAGGTGCCGTGACGAGGGATGAGCCTTCGTCTTCGCACACCTGTGCTCGTCCAAAGAGGACCGACGTGGCGTAGAGGACCGCGAACCGAGTCTACGGGGTCCCACAGGTTCGCGTATAAGGTGTTCACCTGTCACTTAGCCGCGTTCTCCTGGAGCAGCTTCAATTACGCTGCTCCTGGACCTCGACTCGGATCGCTTTTCCACCAGATACACGCGTACTCTCGTTATCTTACGGCGAGAATCGACGCGCCACGGTTTCTACCCTCGTCGAACGCCACGAGAATCACCGTGCACGCGAGCGATCCGAGATTGATATTACCTGTAATCCTACCGGTAATTCGATCGATCGGATAGAAAACGTTGTTACCACGTTTCTCGACGCTCCTGATTATCTTGATCTACTGGCATCCTGTTTTTGGCAGGGACTTTACCATTCTGAACAGAAACTGGCCGATCTTGCATACTCTATCTTGTAAGCTGTATTAAAATAAAGAAGATTTTTGCACTCGAATTTGACTGTTTACAAACAGCAACTTTGAAACTTAAAAAGTTAAATGAACTTTCTTGAGGTTTTTATTTCTTTACTAATAATTTCCACTATTGTTTGTTTCACTGTGTTCATACATCACACGTGTAGTGTTATAAAATCAGTTAAAAAATGCTTATTTAAAATTATTGTATTAAATATAATTTTGACTGTGAAGCACCTCTCGAGCGCAAAGGGTTGAATGAATTTTCTTGAGGTTATTATTTCTTTACTAATAACTTCCACTATTATTTGTTTCACTGTGTTCATACATCACACGTGTCATATATAATCAGTTTAAAAATTTAAAATTATTTAAAATTATTTAATTAAATATAATGACTGTGAGTCACCTCTCAAGGGTTAAAATATAAAAGAAGTCTATTGAATGTTAATCCTCCAGGAAACCTCCAACTTTGAATACTTGCAGAAAGTTCTCTTACCAACAAATCTCTTATTCAAAAAGAAATCTCATATAACGTAATAAATCCGTGGAACGCGTTTATGAACAATTAAACGGGAGG